TTTTTCTCCACTGTAACGTTAGTAGTAAGTTTCGTTCTAATGTTTTAACATTTAATAACCAATCGAGTGAAGAGATTTGCCACTTTTCCCTCAGCAACGCTGATTTCCATTTATTTTGTATATTTTTTTTTTATTATTTAGGTAGTCTTGAACTAGGGATATTTGCAATTCAATAAATATTTTATCTTTCTTGCCTTTGTGAAACACAATTTTTAATCAAACTATTGAACGAGTTCAATTAAGGTTAATGGAAAAGGTTATAGTTATAGTCCTTTCTAGGTGGTTGCTTAAGTGTTAAATACCAAATGTGTTTTATTAATGGTTGCTTTTAGCTGAGTAGAAGAACGTATCTTTGCATAGAAATAGTTGAACAATTTTGTTTCGCTTTCTCTTAAATCTATAAACACATTAGTAATTCGACACAGTCGGTAACTGCTTCGTTTAGAAGCACTGCAGTAATGATGGGCTGTACCCAATATTTCCTCCTTTAACATAAAAAAGTACTAAATAAGTCGTATGGAGAAAAAAACATTTTATTATAACGCTGATTACAAATTGATCGCTTCAAAATACGCAGTGGCAAACCGTTTCTCTGCACATAGCTTTAAACCGTTGAATTTTCTTTTAACCATTAATAACTCAGTAGTATCCAACAGATACATTTTCAAATTTATTTATTTGTGTAAATTGTTTTTCTGAATGAGTAATAATATTTATGATATGTATACGATGCAATCAATCTTCATTAGAATCAGTAATTTCTTTTTTCGCTGCATTTCCCTGTTTGTTTGAATAACGATTAAACAGTTTAGCTTGTTTCTTCTAAACCAAAGTAAATTTCCACTGTTATTGTAATTACAGAAATTACAAATATTTTGTGATTTTTCAGAATATTCGGAAACTTCACCATCATTATCACACATAACTTTTTCACGTGGTTTTTGCGGAACAAAAATCAATAATTCCGTAATTATAATTTATAATAAAAATTGGTTTTAATTTTAATTAAATACATGTAACAACAACAATTAATTAATAATATGGATAGAATGATCACGAAAACATCACAGCGTAGACTGTCGTCGTGCAAGGATTGAACTGATAATCAGATAACAAACATTCGCAACAATTAAAACTCCTTACATGATTTTGTTTCGTTTCGTCATTCGCGACATGACAACTTTCGATCTGAATTAGAAATCACTATGTCATAGAAGGGATAAGAAATGGTCAGTGCTGCAAAATCTGTAATGTCACGTGGTAGGTGAAACACGTCTATAAAGGGTTGAACAGGGGACTTCGAATTATTTAACGATGGCAATTAAAAACGTACCGAGTGAGATTAAAACCGGTTGCGTACTACGTCTGGCGCGTTTCGTGGAACTCGTTAGAAACGCGATACAAACGTGTCCCGTGCACGCTTTCGACGTAACGAAATCTTTAAAACTCTCGATTTGTGCTAATTCCTCGCAATATAAATCAACGGGACGTAAATTAACACGATGACACTTCTCGAAACGATATCAGACTTGACTTTAATTCGTTTTGCGACGTATCTCTTCGCCTGCAACGATCGATTGCTAGATTCAAATCGGTACTCCGATCAACTTAACGTCTATTAAGGATCGCATTCACCGTAAACTTGATTTCATCGGTGGAATCATACTTTTTGTAATGACGATGTCAGTAATGTTCTATTTCGGACGTTGCCCGTTAATTTAGTGCTTCCGTTTTTGTAAGAACGTTTACAATACGAAGAGAACTCTTTGCACTCGGGATGTGACTCACACTCATCATTTGGTTTGAGATAGCAAAATTATAAAATTCAATATTTAATATTGCATTATATATAATATAATTATAAATGAAATATTCAAATAAAATAATACTATCCATTCATTTGTGTACTACTTTTATTCAACAGAATCAAGAATTTAATCAACATTTCATTAGAAAATAATAAATATATGTAGCGAACAAATGTTTGGTTGCAATCTTTTAAAAGCTTTTCGAGTATATCCGTCGTCGACTTAAACTTTTTCTGGATTTATCTTCTTTGTACAAAATATGGTAATCAAATTTGAACGAGTAAGTGATAAGGTATCGCAGGTATTTAAGAAAAGGATACCATTTAAATTTTTCTAGATATAGTTTTATCTGTTGCAGTAATTATAGGAAATTAATAGCGACAACGTAATTCCATCGTAGGCAATTTTGAAAGAAATTATAGATTAGAAGGTCAGAATTAGGCCAAGTATAATATAACTGATACAAAATATTGCTAATGTCCACAAGAAGCATTCTTCGAGTGTAAAGCTAAATTTTATCCACGTCTGAGAAGGGTACTTCGAATGCAAAGGATTAAGACAATAATTTTCACGATATCGTGCACGTTTACCGACGACTGTGACCCGTGTCTGTCTATGTCATCGTTCTTAGAATTATGTTTGTCGCGAACCAGAGCGAGTTAATGAACTTCTTTCGCAAACAAAATCCGATAAAGCGTGCGCCGTTATCGGTCAGAAGAATATTATTATCTTTTCTGGCGAGTTAAGATATTGATTGGTGTTTTGAAAGGTCAGGAATGTAAGAGAACAAATTAATGAGGCTACGTTCCTCTGTGCGAATTTTTGAAGTGTGATCGAACCAGGAATTGGAAACAGTTATAATAGTTATAACATTATATCAAAATAAAATTATAATAATTTTTTGGTCGATTTTATAGTTGTTGGACCCTTCAGTTCCGTATCAATATTATATCGATTACAGTTCGATTTTCATTCTTCGATATCATATCGGCTCTATGTAGTGTAAGTTCTTTAGTGTAGTTCTTGTGTTTAAAATAGTTATTCTCTGAACCGTTTCAATCACTCGACAATTCAGCTTTCACGCGCGTACGCATTCTGAAAGCGTATTTCTAAATATCTTATCTATTTTCAATATTTGATTTGTCCGTCGTTCAAGCTGCGTCTGCCGATTATGGTTGATCGCGTCGAGTATCTGTTTCTTCTCGGAATATAATTGGTAGACCTTTGTATAATTGTTTGTACAGCTTACGTCAATTTCATCTTATTCTGTGTTTCAACTTCTTTGTAAATCTTTCTGTAGAATTTTCGTTTGTTAATTGCCAAATGGATTTAAAAACTATGTTGAGCTGGCTTTGATTTCATTTAACTTTTAAAATCTTCCGAGCAGGAAATTCGCGGAACTTGCGCACAAACACTTACAGCGAAAATCGCAACGAGCAATGAATCGAGAATCATCATGTTTATGTAGTCAGATGAATGTCATTCCACAATAATGCCCTGTTCCGTTCTAATCTGCGAATGTATTTATCTCCATATCAAACCGAAACCATATCAAATTGCATTTCATCTCACATTTCGTAAAGTTAATTGTTATTTATTATCGCATAATGCATATTTAATTTCATTCATATAATTTTAATTTGGTTCGATATCAATATTTCATTCAACAATATCTTTATACTATATTTTATGCAGTATAAAATTGTGTATGTTATATTTTTAAGCTTTTAATATTTTTATGCGCTGTGAGCTCATAAAGATCCGCAATGTGCTCATAAATCAACATCTCTACTTCCGTCGAGCCAAGCAACCATGAGAATTATTTTCTCTTCACCGACTTCGGTTAATTCCTTTTTCATCTAAGTTTAGCCTTATTCTTCAAACTTGATATTGAGTAGAAATTTAAAAAAAGTCACTCTTTAAATAAAAATCTTTATCGCATAACTTTGCCGAGCTCGTGTCACTCATTGTTTGCTCTGCAAAATTTCCACTCCGAGTGACTCTATGTGAGCACGCCATTATACTTTTGTACGTGTCGTTATTTCATGGGAGGAGTGTTCCACAAATATGTATTCTCTTTCTGAAGATGGTATTCTGATTCGTACGTTAGCATTACGTCTCATGACAGCGACAAAAAGAATAACCTATTTACGTCCTGTTTTCACGATTAGCTGAACAATTGATCGTTCTTGCTTAAAAATGAAAGGGTTAACACATTGAATGCCACGGAAATTTCGGTCATATTTTGCTTATGAACTGTATTGATTTTTTAAATAAAATATTAAGTTATATTCAAGTTTTTTTTTAATTTTATATATTTTGATATCGTTTCTTGATGTTTTCGGTGCTTTGTACAGTTATTCTTGACCATGTGTCCCTTAAAAATATTTTGTTACAAAAATTAACGTGTAGCACATGTGGTACACATGGCACTGAACGTGTTAAGGATGTTATAAAGTGAGAGATAATAATAACTTCTGTACAATCGTAGTAACAATAATAATAACAAAAAATTTCAGTGGGTAGCTTTGTAAATGAAACAATTTAATTAAAGTTACATAAATCTTTACACGAATTTCATTATAAAGATTATTATACTTTATTAAACATTCCGCGATTTTCGGTGTTATTATAATAATTCGTTCCTTTGTAGAGCTCCAAAATCTTTGTTTTAATTTCAGAAAATACTTAGTGTTTCAATATCATAAATATACAAGATGATTCGTTTAAGTGGAGATAATTTTTCGAATTTCGACATTTTCGACATGATTATGCAGACAGGATGATCATTAATTATAATCATTTTGAATTATTTGATCATTCTAATGTAAGCAGTATTTCGATCACTCCATTTCAAATTCAATTTCACATTTAATACTTCAAGTTGTCTTTGAAATATTTTTTCCTTAAATGTTGCTCTATGCATTCGACATATTGTTTTATAGTTAATATAAGAAATATAATGAATATAATAATAGCTGATGTACGAAAACAGAAAACGTAGTACTTTCACGAGAATGTTAATCAAAATGTAGGATACGAAGTAAACTCTACGCAAAGGAAGCGCTTTACTTCTCAAAGAAGCCGTAACGCCGCAAACTAGCCACAACCTATCCCAACCTCCTTCTTTCGAAATACAGACTATAGCGAATGAAGGCTTTACTAATTCAAGTCCATCGTGTTTCTATTTCGATCCTCTTTTGCCAGCCTTGAATATGGTCAGTTGAATTGTAAGTCTCTAACTTCGACATTTTTAGCTGTTTAATATATTAAACATCAAATCCCGATAAAACTATCTTTCCAAATCAAATAATAACGTTAATCGGTTCATTGACTTGCAGTCAAAATTTATGGGCTATTATATATTATACGTTATTTTATATATTGTATATATATTATTACTGGTAAACTGAACATTATTGTTTTTCAAGAACACAAAATTGAACACAAAATTGAAGGATCAGAACTTTTTAGTAGAAAAATTACTCAAGTTCAAAGTGGTATAGCTTTATGTTATAATGAAACTCATTACTTCTTGTGACATTTTTGTTCAGTGTGTAGCGGGTATAAAAATAAATATAGTTTTTCGTTTCACAAATTTGATAAACTTTGCAGACATTAAAAAATATTTTTTTATGGCGAGTTCCTGATGGATCTGAAGAATGGAGTCTTTTCTTCAACTGTAGAAGTGTATCAAAAAGTCATTAAAATTTTCAGATTCATTAATATCAATGTAATTCATAATGTAATCATTTTTGGAGGAAAAGGCGAGTTTGAAAATATTGATTCCTTAAGTGAAACACTCTGCTATTCCAATAATTTGCTAACGCATTGGAAAAGCGGTGAACTACTACAGATTCATTGAGTAGTAGACTTGATGTATTTTCGGACACAATATCCGTGAGCGCCAAGTTTCATTGGCACAATTCCTTCCATTACGAAGTGGATTAGGCAGAGAGGAGGCGTTACGATCAATGACCAGCTAAAAGTGATCTTAAAAAGAGTGTCTACTATCTGAGCCGATCAGACTGACTTCATTTTTTCAATTTTTTTTCAAATTTTAGTGCTAAAAAGCTTGTGTAATACCACACTTTTGACGTTTAAAATAAATATCTGTAATAATTCAATTTGACTCCAGAAATAAAGTATATTTTTATGCTAGTTGCCATAATTGACGCAACAAATATATGATTTTAGAAGTCAGTGTAATTGAATAACAATTAAGGAAAACATTTTCATTATAAAATAATAATAAAAATGTAATAAATCATAATAAATTCTATAATATTTGTTTGAATGTATATTCCATTTGCTTTTTAGTCAATCTATGATCTGCTTTAACGAATCGACGGTTTCTGTATTTACTTCCTGGTAAGGTTCTCTCGAAATCCCTGTTGCATGAATCTTATCAGCGCGTGTGCATTTGAAAGACGTATTGATTCGAATTCTGAAATTATAGCGTCATCCCGTTAACTCGCAGATTCAATTTCATATTGATCGAACAGAGGCTTGCGTCAAGCCCCGCTTTTAATATTACACGGAATCCTAGAATCTCTGGAAACGAGCCATCTGGGAAATCATCGACGAGCTGTGTGTTATTGTTTATCGTCAAACTCCTGTTAGGAATTTCGTTGTCGATTCTAGAGCTAATTCGAGATAATTGATCGTCTGAGATGTTTCATGCAGAAATAATAATTCATACCTGCTATAATTTACAATAATCGTACGCATGAGATAAAATAAATAATATAGATTGAAAATGTTTAGTCATACGTAAGTCAAGTGTAGTCTATAAGCATGAGTCTTTTTTTAAGAAGATTGACAATTAGAGGAAATTATATTGGAGTCGATTATTAATGAAAGCTTTAATAGTCTAATCAGTTATTTTTAACAGAAGAGGAATTTACTTTCCAAGTTGTTTTTAAGAAAATTATTATGATTCTGTGAATTTATTTATTATACATTTCTCCGAGTATATTTAAAATTGGACCCTTATTTCTTTGATATGAATTATTTAAGGACATGTTTCGAATTATTTGTTAAAATTGTTTAATACAGAAGGTGGTCCGAACAAAGACTACTTGAACTGTAGGGCCACATTAGGTGTTTCAATTTGTCGAAAATAATGTGAAACCATCGATAAATCCTTGTGAAATGAATCTTGTGATCTTGGAAATTAGAATTTCGAAAACTGAGAATTAGGATACGTATTTACATGGTCGTATCAATCAAAGTCGACTTAAACTTTTACTAATCCCTTATCTCTACAATATCGTATCGGGCTCGCGGTGAACATTTCAAGTACAATTCAACAAATCTAAGTAAAATACTATTTTACTATTATTAATTATAATACTTTAAACTCTAAAGTTTAGAGTCAACTTGAACATAGAAACGAGCGTGGGATTGTTTTCTTGTACCAAGGAATTAAGAACAATGAAATAGTTCTTTCAAACGCAGTTAGGAAAGAAATCGTGGTGCAGGGGGTTAAATGATGTTTATAAAATTTCATATCCGTCAAATTGACGGTTTCCGTAAATCTAGTGTTAAGAATGGTATATCCACGTAAATATACTTGTAAAGAAACGCTCTTCTGTGACTCGCTTAAGTCTGCGTAAGCTTTTAAAACAGGTCTACTTGCCGGACGATCGCTTTATACATCTATATGGGACTTTAGGGGTTCCCCGTAACTGTCACATTGTCAAATAAATGCCCACCACTAAACCATATAACTCGTTTCAAGATTTACCATTCACGTCATCATTCTTCAACCTTTCGCATTCCTTTGTCGAGTGTGACTTGATGTTCAATTTTAAAAATATTATTTTTCTTATTTTCAATATACGGTAAATCGAAGCGCATCAGATCACAGAATGTACTGGATCGAAACAAGAATTCAGTTCACGTTTGTTATATGGAAAATTATATTTCCTAGTTTTCGTTCTTCATTTGCAACAAGAAGATTTCAAAATTCTTTTTCCACTTTTATTATTAATGTGTACGTATTTCTGTTTCCTGATTGTCAAAGAGAAGACGACCCGATTTGCTTTAGTCTGCTCTGAAAATTAAAATAAATTGTTTACGTGACTTCTTGTAAATCAGTTTGAAGTAGCCTTTGAATAAAATACTTGAAACGATGTAGAATTATTTGAAACTAAATGTAGATATTCAGAAAACATAAGGTTAAGCTATTTCTATACATTCAGGGAACAACATTATGCCAAGTTACTATTGTTCAATATTATTCATACTTGAAAAAGAAAAATTTGAAGTCAAAGTTAGTTATTACTATCGAAGTATGCGCTCAAAAACTACACCATCAATATTTCCCACGCAACATCTGCGCAAAATGTAATTACACATAATTACCTCTGTTGACGCAAGACAGTGTCTTACAGAGTAATCCTTTTCCACGCTCAACGAGGTTTCCATTTCCATCGTGACAAAATGAACAAACTCTTCTTTAATCTTAATGCTCTGCTAACGGTGCCGCTACAGTGGCGGCACTTAACATTTACCTTCATAGTCGATGTCGCTACTACAGCGGTAGTATCTCTTTTCCGAGTATGTACGTGTACTATTTCCAGACCGAGCGGTATTGTAAATATTTATTACCCTTCGGTGTCCTTTTCTAACGGTGTTTAAGAAATACCGTAATTCACCTTCAAAGAATAATTTCATTAAAAATGTGCCGATCGCAACGGGTTAACTTCCGCACTCTGTAAAAACTCGTCTTTGGCATAAACATTCGCGATTCGTTGATAAACAAGGTGTCCCTCGTTGAAGGAATTGGGGTCCGATTTGTTCGAGCTGTGCAAGCTTCACTCGCAGCTTGGTAGCAAGGCGAATAAAGAGTTTAATGGCTCGCTTTCCTGTAACACGATCGTCCGGTAAAAGGCTACTAATGAATCGATCGCGATTCAGGATCCCCACTTCTCTGCCAATCTTCTCGGGGAACTCGTTCTCTCGGGAGCCTCGTGATTAAGGACTATACCACCGATGATCGCAACCAGCGACTCGTTCCCCTGCGAATCTCCTGTCTTTGTCCCTCCCTCTTCGAATATACCTTCCCCGTCCCCCTCCACCACCCCCTCCTTGTCCTACTCCTCGAGATCTCTCTTTCTCTTCCTGACCCCAATCGTCCGTCCTCTGTTCTTCCTCTGTGCCAGAGGAGAGTACTGGTTCCGAGGAATCTCGTTCCCCTGGCATTCCGTCGTTGTTCTTGCAATTAACTAGCGTTTTGTTCTCCACAGTTGACAGATCGGGAACCGGGCAGTCTGGAAGCTCGCCGAGGGTGACGCTTCGGCTCAACCAGGTGCGAGGAGCAAGGGATGAAAAGAAAGGAGGGAGCGCTACTAACTCCCGTCAGGGCAGCATGAACGCGCAGGTACACGATTGTTTAAGATCATCGCGATACGATGAGAAGTTTTCGTTTTATCGGAGAGTCGTTTGGAAATTTTGTAACCGGTCAATTCTGAACGTCCGTGCGATAGGTGTAAGAAAAGCGTACGCGCGAGAAACTGATTACAAGGAAAGAACATTTAGAGGATGTGAAGGCACGTAGTACTTAAATGTTTGAGAAAAGATTACATGTATTTTTTTAAATGGAAGAATGCTTGTTTCGAGCTTTAATTTAATTCGTGGAATATTTATGATATCGTGACGATAGAGCGTCGGCTGGAATGAAAATTGTACCGGAATGAAAATTTACTACGTAACAAAATTAAGCTATTACTATTAACGACCACTGTAGTGTTATGACAATTCTGTAGGAAAAACTTTTATTTGTTATAAATAATATTTGAGAAGTTAAGAAACATTTTTTGCTGAAGAATTGGAACATTTTAGACGTACGAGTCTACTTTTATCGGTTGTTATAAAATTCTCTAGATTAATGCTCTAAAATACGTTAACTCATTAAATGTTATAATTATTTAAAATTTAATGAATGTCTTTAGAATCAAGGTCAAATGGAAACTTCAATGAAGACGTCAAACGTCTCGTCAGGGACCGTGAATGCTGTCTCGGGCTCAAGTGCGTCTGGAAACGCATCTTCAGCGGCCAATGATGGTGGCGACGTTTATGAATTTAAAAGTTCAAAAGAACCGACACCGGTGAGAGGTGCGAGTTCTTCGCCAAATCCGAATCCTGAAAAAGATAAAGATGGTGGGAAGACTACTAGCGGTCAAGGAAGTCAAAGCGGAGGTAACAATGTGTCCACCACTGGTGGCTCTACGACATCTTCCGGCGAGACAACAACGTCGATTTCTGCTGATGATGCCGCTACTGTTTCGGTGTCACCTTCGTCTAAACGTGCGTTTGAAGGTGACAATAATGAGGAACAGGACGAAGAAAATCGTAGGAAGAAACGCAAAGACTCGGAGCCTGTAAAAGAAAATTTAAAAAACACAACAACTGGAAGACAGAGTACTGGTAGGAATACTGCTAATTCGGGGGAAAAAGTAAGTATTGCATATTATATTGGGTTCATTCACTTGTAATTGTTCTTTTATTCCAATTTTATTATTCTTCTTAAAAATGTACAAAATAGCGTAATCTACAATATATTTCTTATTATTGAATACAACTGTTTTCCATTTATCTGACAGCTTGTCAGTTGTCAGTAAAGAGAATTTAACTTTTTTTGATAAAAGAAGTGTTGCAATACATTCAGCTATTTAGTTGTTATTATATCTTTATAATAATAACTGACAATCTGTACAAGCTATGTGTATTGAGGTAAAATTGATAGTTTTAAACAATTTTAAATCCATTAACTGTATTGGCAATTATTTATGATTCAGTCCAATAATAAATAAAATCAAACACTATTAAAACAGTCTCTAATAAGTGTATTTTTTATTACAGTGTACTAAATCAGGTAAACAGGGATCTGGAGCAACTTCTGGTAAAAGTAATCAAAACGCAGCTTCTATTAGTGCTGATAGAAAAAGTCCAAATACTGCTTCAATGGCAAGTAGTCCAAAGCCTTCAAATCCTTCTGGTTCAACAACAAACACTAAAACAACTACCCCAGCACCTCCTGAATCTGATGGCGAAGATGACAGATCAAAAGGTTCTGATTCTGCTTCAGCACCTAAAGTGCCACCTTTAAAAATAGTTATTCCACAAAGTAGTACATCTGAACAGGAACAGGGTAATAGAAATGGAAAAAGTACATCTAACAGAAGTCATCAGTTACCTTATGTAGTGGCAAGTTCTAATAGCAATGATTCAACGGATAAAGATCAGAGTCAGTCTGCTAGTGGTACAACGAGTCCTACGGAAAGTGGAAATAATACTAAAAGTGAAGATAAAAAAGATTTCAGCGGTGCTTTACATGGAGAGGAAAGATCAACACATCATCAGAGAGTGCTTAGAAGTTCGCATAGATCTAGTAATGGCAGTAATGGCTCATCAACATTGAAAGAAACTTCTGCTTCTGCAAATAGTGGAAATTATTCAAACTCATCTCCTCTACCTGTAACTACTTCAACGGATCGTTCGAATAACTCATCGCCCCAGCAACGGCATCATTCACCAACACCTGAAGTAACTGGTACTGAATCTAACAAATCTAGTTCAGTAGAAACTTCAAATAGTAATACTAGTTCCAAAACAAATGTTACGATGGAAAAGTCAGAAAAAAATACTGAAACTGGCGGAAAGAGTCAGAAAGACAATAGTACAGAAAGTTCGGAAAACACCTCTACAACGACTTCGTCAACAACGTCGAACGTAGGTACACCAGCACCACCTGTTGAGCTTCATCCTAGAAAAAGAAAAATGAAACCTAATAAAGAAGCACAACAAGCTGCCACAGCTGCCTCGAATGAAACTTCTGAAACAACCAACACAGGTACAGAAGTACATCCACATGATCTACCTATTACCAATTGCTATCAATTATTCCTCAATATTAGGAAACAGGTTAGATTTTTACAATTTTTAAATTAATTGTAAATTATTTTACATAAAACGTTGCCTAACGATAATAATGTTCATCTTTTTAGATTGAACGAAGAAGAAAAGGTCTCTTTCCAGTTCAACCAAAACCACCTCAGGGTTTCAAAGATTATTTAATGAATCGTTGTACATACGTATTAGCCGGAAATGCAAATAAAGAACCCAATGTTAATCCTCCGGTTGGATTACAAGGCGCTATGAAGGATTTATACGTTGAACAAGAAAAAGAAAGATACCGTCTTCGAATGCAACATGTTGTTGAAAAAGAGAAATTAGTTTTATCAGTGGAACAAGAAATTCTTAGAGTTCACGGTAGAGCTGCTAGAGCTCTTGCTAACCAGTCTCTTCCTTTTTCCGTTTGTACTATATTAAAAGATGAAGAGGTTTATAATGTTATTACACCAGAACAAGAAGAAAAAGATAGGAACGCGAGAAGTCGATATAACGGCAGACTGTTTCTGAGTTGGTTACAAGATGTGGATGATAAATGGGAAAAAATTAAGGTAAAGGATATTAGTGATTTAAATGTTTATAACCTGATTGACTGTATAGGCAATTTGTAATTTCACATATTGTCTATGGTTTATTCAGGTTAAATTAAAATAAATTACCTATAAACCGACTAGTATATAAACTATTTTCCTGTATACTAGTTTAAAAATGCGTAATACATTAAAAAGATAGCATCATTATTAATATTATAACAAAATAATATTAAACTACAAATAAAGTATTATTTTAGGAAGCTATGTTACTTAGACATCATAACGAAGCAGAATCGTTACATGCTGTGCAAAGAATGGATTGGGAATGGAAATTAAAAGAAGTTGGACTATGTGAATTTAAAGCGACACCTCAAATAGAAGACATGCATGTTCCAATGGTACATGTTTCGGATGATTTTGATTTACTCCCAGCTTAGTGAATAGAGATTGACCAGTTGACTAGGTGTAACTGCTCATATGATTTTGCTCATTTCCAACCTTCACGATTCTGAATAAACAAAAGTGTTCATTCTGTTACATTCAGAAAGTCCGTACGTCCTTTCACACACAGAAAACAAGTGTTGCATATTACTCTTATTTTATTTAAAACAACAACATTGTTATTCAGGTTTAAACTAACTATTCGCATAATAGTATAAACTTAGACAATTAAAATTTCAGTAACATCTAAAATATTCTGATTGGTGAGTTTCAAATGTATGGAAGCCGTCTAAGTTTCACTTTTCTCCGTTTCATTTAAGAAAACATTAATATCCTTGTATATAAGATTGACACTTTTATTTCTAATTCACTTTATCGAAATATAAGTTATCGCATTTTAATGCATAGTTTAGTTGGAACATATTGATGTGAAAATCACAATGATGGGTTTTCAAAATGGCTTCAATGAACCGAGTACTCACTCACCAAAAATAGGCTCATTGATAATGGAGTTGGCCATTGAAACAGTCTACTTCCGATACTGCACTCGTAGATGTAAAAGTATGTACGGTGTATTGTATTTTAATCGTGTGCCTGTCAGTTCGTGCGTGCGTGCGTGCGTGCAAGCTTGAAATTATTTCAAAGGTAATGACTATAATCTGTGATCTCTCTTACATTATAATGTATTCGCTATTGTTTTACGGTTACCAAATTGCGTTATATATTGTTTTTAAACTATCATATCTTGAGGCTGTATTTAGGAGACAACTTAACTCTCTAATTAGATTATTCAATTGCATTTATAGGTTTATTACTTTCTTGAAATTGTTGATATTTTATTTTCAAATTGTATTATGTTGGTTGAAACGGTTTGTCGAAATCGTAATTTATTAAACTAATAATTGGAATAACATAATTCCAACAATTTTTATATACAAATTGTCAATAATTAAATTGACATTTAGAAAATTTTAAAAATTTCTTAACCAATTAAATCTGTTCTCTAATATTGATTTTAATTTCAGCTATGTGAAATGAACATGTAACTGATATTTTAATAATGAAAAATATAACAGAAATAAATGAACTGAAAGTGCTTAATACATAGAAATCTTATCTTCCTTTTATTGGGTATAATTTAATAGATGTATTTCAAGTGAAACTTTATATACAATTTAAAACCGTTTATACCAACACAATATATTTAAAAGCATGATTAAGGAAGATTATAACAGTCACCTGAAAATGTATAATAGTCCTTATAAATGTAATGTTTCAACATTACATATTCATCCAGTTTGTGTTGTAATTATTTATTACTGTATTTTTTCAGTATATAATGTCAACATAATAATGTATTGTATATATTTTGTACCTAGAAACTTACAATAGATTTTAAGTAATGTATTAAAATATTAAATTTAGAAATTGTGTAATAAATAAGATTGCTTCAAACTTAAAATTATTTATATTATTTCTTGTCATTATTCCGTACATCTTTCATTTTATCTTTATCATCAGTACAGAAAAGATCTAGTGGTTTATAATGGCCCATAATATTATGATAGTGTACTTGTTCTGTGAATTCTGCCTCATTAAAGAACAGTGGTTTTCCTTTCACAACGCAAGTTGTAAATGGTCCAGTTATATCAGGCACATGCACATCATCTTCTGTAAATTCAGTCTAAAACATTTTACGCATAGAGCGATTATAGAAGAATTCCACCGAAAAATAAACAGAAACAAGTTTAGAGAAACTTTATAAATACCTGTAGTTTCTTAAGAAATAAGCTATATGTTTCCGCAATATACCTTTTCTTTTGTGAATTAAAATATATATGAAATGCATATTTTCTTCCTAATATATGATGTAGCAACAGTGGAGTTGCTGTTAGATAAATAAACATAATAACCGATACAGTAAGTGTAACTATTGGATTATCTGATTCCATAGAGTGCATATAAACAATTGGTGCGAAACCAATGCTTACAAATGAAGTTGATAAGGAAAATGCTTTAACATAATAAAGTTTCCAGTTCAACTTTCCTGTATATATTAATTGGTTATCTCCATAATTATTACCTTCTGTATAGAAATACTTTACTTGCAAATTCCCTGGAGTTACCTAAGACAATAAAATTGTACATGTTAAAACTTTTGAATGTTTTCTTGGAGAGAAAATTATTCTTTTAGTAAATGACATTCATTTATATCGCTAAAATATAGTTTAAAAAAGTTAGATTTTCAAAAATTTATAACATCAAAATTCAATGTTGCGTAAATTCCTTTAGTTTATTTATAAATTAGAGAAAGAAAATTCTAACCTTATTATTACAAATGTTGAATAGAAATGGTGTAGTACATCTTTGGGAAGCAAATTTTTGGAAACATATTTTTCTTTGAATTAAAATGCAGTGTCGCAATGCTACAGACATTATTAAAAATCACAAATGTCTATATCAATTATATACTTTTGGGATTGAGAAGTCTTATAGAAGCAAAACTAAGGACCTTTTCAAGAATCTTCCGACAATTTCAACTGTTCTATTGCGATAACAGATACATCTGTACGCAGCTGGACAATCTCGTAATATAGACCTATTAAAATTAATGATGATAATTTTATTTCGTGTCTATAAATTGAATAACTTGAACATAATTTATGCTGGCTTTATATTAGTCTAGTAGTATTCCAATCAGTGATTTAATCCGGGATTAAATTGTACGGTCTAGCACACAGAATTGGTTTGTACTCGCATCGTTCAAAATTCTTTCCTTGATATTATTTTGTATACTTAATAATATATAAGTTAATAATTATTAATAATTCATAGTATGAACACATCCATAAACAACTGAACAATATTTAATCTTGGGATGACGAATTGGGGACTTACAACCTCGTTAGGGTATTTCTCCTCTTAGAGAGTTATCCTTTCTATAGCTACTTTTACTTATGTATGGAACACTCATAGAATTACTGCGCATGCGTAGTCTCGCTGATCGAAAGTTACTAGTTTGAGGGGAACCAGTTTGATAACCCCGCTGTATATTACAAACATAGACGAGGTATAGGATAGGCATAAAATGCAATGTAAAATTTTAGTCTTACGCTGATTTTGCATGGTAACGCTATGAGCGATAGAAATTAAAATCAAAAATATTGAAACACAAATTACAAGCTATAAAAGTTATATAAGAAATTATTTTGGCTAATTATAATGTTGTAGAAAATTCTTCGATAGATTATATACCGGTAAATTTTATTTTAATAATTGAAAGTTTGACAAATAAAATTGAATACTTCTAACAAAATTGGTAAGTATTCGGAATTGAAATGCATAATACACTTTTAGGTATTATTTTGAATTTGAAGTCTGTGCAAATAAATACAAATAAATAAATAAGGAACGCGTTCCTTTTTATTTTTCTTTTGTCTTATTATTACATTTTCGTAGATGCTCGTAATTTCTTATGGACATTTATTAGAATATTAAACAGAATTCGCAATTTTAAAGTACAATACAACGCGAATACTAAAAATGTACACAATTTACTTGCATAATTAATCAGTGAAGTTTTTATCATTTTTCGAACAATTCATTTTTATATCTGGAAAAATCAGAGCTGTTGTCCCATATAAATTTTAAAAATTATTTTCCATGAAACTTTTAATCACTAATCTGTAAAGTGCATATTTCATAACGTGAATATATACTATCTAACAATTTCCCTTGCCTTCGACCTCAAAAAGTTAGCGATTTTTCGTTTATTTTAATTATATACCGAAATAGTGAATATACTATAAAGTACACAAGTTAAACAACTCTCTCCATCATTCACGAAAGACGTAAATATTATCTGAATACTTACTTGTCGATCGATGATTGCATACTTCACATTTAAATTACAAAATTATCGCAGCCAATTAGCCTAACATAAACCTGCACAGAAAATATTCTATTCGGGATACTGTTAGTTGCCCAGGTCTCGTGGGCCACCACGATAACAATATCCACCACGTGGAGATGGCTGAGAGTGGAGACCCCGGGAGGTGGATGGAAATTGAATTCCATCGACCTCTCCTTATAATCCTAAATCTTATGTTCAACGCACTCATTAATACTTCCACGATGACTGTTTGTTTTTGAGCCCGAAATGAAGTATCCCGCGGTGGCTGTTTTCTTTCTTGAGTTTGAAGTGAAATATCTCACGACGGACGATCGATGTCTTCTTTCGCACGCTTAATTCTAATTTAGTTTAACCGAAACGGATAACTTAACCCTTTGTGGACGAAGATACTTTGAAATATACAAAGTCTTCAATAAATGAAGTTAAATTAAGTATCAATTACTTAATTAATGGGAAAAAAGAAAACTATGAGCTGATCTTTTGCTGTCAGAGTAATTATATCATTTCTCTGCGACTTAGTCTTCTAAATATGAACACTTCATCTCTCCGAAATGTCGACATTCATCACAGTTATGGGTAGCCGAGGGTAGCCGAGGGTAGTCCAGAATTGTCCAGGATAGTCCAGGATAGTCCAGGATAGTCCAGGATAGTCCAGGATAGTCCAGGATACTCCATGAAGGTCCAGGGTAGCCGAGGGTAGCCGAGGGTAGTCCAGAATTGTCCAGGATAGTCCATGAAGGTCCAGGGTAGCCCAGGGTAGCCAAGGGTAGCCCAGGGTAGCCCAGGGTAGCCCAGGGTAGCCCAGGGTAGCCCATGGTAGCCCATGGTAGCCCAGGGTAGCCGAGGGTAGCCGAGGGTAGCCGAGGGTAGCCGAGGGTAGCCGAGG